ATATACGTGACCCTGCACACAGGTGCCGTCCTGTAGCACTATATCTGCAATAGGACGGTCCCCAAACCGGTTAAGCGTTGACAATATAACTTATAAGCTTCATAGGTTTTTGTACTGAGCTGCACCAGATTTTGCACTCTCCAGTTTTAGTAAATAACTCCCCTCTGTGTCAAAAATGGTCATGCATTGGATGTATGTAAGCCTCAGCACAGCCGAATGTATTCATGAGTAGGTGGGTGCGCGGCCCAGAACGCACACTGTCTGATTTCAGGGCCGCACAACCATCCCTACATGCCTGGAGTCTGTACAGCCACTGTATGTCCATTCATTAAAGGACACGTTCACCTTAGGGAACAGGTTTCACCCATTTTAGGGTGGAACAAGTAACATGCAAGATGTTCCCACTCCTGTAGCTCTCCTCTCCTGATTTATCTCCTGCCTGTGACAGCGGGCAGGGGGATCCTCTCCCCCCGAACAGCCGTGTTGTTCGTTCAACTCTCTTAGATTGTAAGACCCCATGTACAAGGGACACTTCTGAACGATGGAAACTGACTGCTGGAAAAAACATAGGTAAAGAAACATCTGTTTAGCCGCATTTGCATAACGCGTTTATGTGCGTTTATGAGCGTTTAGAATCGTTTTTTTTTAAGGTAATAAGGTAAGCACAGGAGAACCTCCCAAATGCCCAGAATGCACTGAAGAGGGGTAAATGATTAACTATTTCAGACTGTTTCAGAGAAATACAGAGAGCAGAAGCAGAGACAGCAGTATGTGTTGAGATTAGTTTAGGTGTGAGTTGCTCATTAACATATCTTTTGTTTCCAAGGGTGGGAAAGGTGTCTGGTGGAGGGAGTCATTAAGGTCACCTGGCAGGGGGTCTTTATGAGGAATCTGAGGTGTGATTGGTCATTAACATATCTTTTGTTTCCAAGGGTTGGAGAGGTCTGAGGTGTGAATGCTCATTAACATATATTTTGTTTCCAAGGGTGGGAGAGGTCTGAGGTGTGAATGTTCATTAACATATATTTTGTTTCCAAGGGTGGGTGAGGTCTGAGGTGTGAATTGGTCTTTCAATGTGTAACAAGCTTGGTGGGAACATCCTGTGTTCAGTGTTTTGTCCATCTGAGTACCTTGATAACGCTTTGCATGCATTTTTCATGATGAAAAAAAGCTCTGGACAGCATCGGGAACTTGAAGAGTTAAAAAAAAAAAATTGCAAACGCTTATAAACGCGATTTGCCGCGTTTACAAGCGTTTTGCGTTTGAAACACTGATAAAATCGACTGCTGAACGCAAGTTTGGTGCGTTCAAAAAAAATGACTGTAAACTCAAATGACTGTAAACGACAATGTGTACATGGACAAATAGGAAAACATTAGGGAGAGTTCAGGGGCTGCTGAAAAAAAAAAAAACCCGCTGAACAGCTCCTAAACGTGAGTTTATCAGCTGCAGTGTACATGGGCCCTAAGCTCCCAGGATCAGGCCCTCCTAACCCTCTTGTATTGAACTGTATTGTTGCTGTACAGTATTGATTCCCTTTATATTGTACAGCGATGAGCAAACTGTTGGCGCCATATAAATCCTGTATAATAATAATAATGAATGCCTACAAGTACCATTGCGGCTGACGGCTTGTAGTTCTCAATGAACTGTGAGGGCGCTGGTGAGCGTTCTGGTAGTCCACTTATTCTTCTTGCTCTCAGGTAACTGCCTGCCCTTATGAGATACAAGCAGACAGTTATGCTGACAGTCTGCAGGATTTGTGCACCCAATGATCTGCTGATTGCAAAAAAATGTGCATTTCTTTCTTTTTTTTTTTTTTAAAAAGTTGAACTTATCCTTTAAAACAAGCTACCTGCACACAGCTCCATACACATAAAAACAAACACCTCATTCTCCTCGGTGCCCATGTAAATGAGGCCTGAGGACTCATTTTTTACCTGTTTTGGCAGTGACAGTTGCACTGTACATATATGTCTGCCAAAAGCTGAAAGTTGTGCCTGTCCTGATTTAACAGAGGAGGGGGGGGAAGCCCCTCTCCAGTTTAGTATACACAGATCAGCTAGGGGAGGTGGACTGTGGACATGAAGCTGATCCTGTCTGGCACAGTATATACACATCATAAGATTTGGATAGGAAGACGGATGGATGGCATTATGAGCTGCTCTCCAGCCGCTGGCACATATCCCATACTGCACTGCAGCACGGCTCTGCAGCTTTACAGGCAGCAACCCTTCGGAAAAGCAGCAGAGAATATTTACTGGTGACACAATGACAGGGGCCTATCTAGAGAGCGCCTATCAACACCCGCAAGTGTGGAGGGGAGGGGGGGGGGGGGGGGGGCTCCATATCACTGCAGGATATCCTGGAACGTGAAATCCTTGCTGAAGACAAACATGAGGGGAAGCTGTGGTCAGAGAGGAAGGAATGTTTATATCTCAGGAGTCATTAGGAGGTTTCTGCAAAGCGGCTCTGCGGCTGGATATGCACACATCAGCTAAGAAAACTTTAAAGAGATCCTGACCCTTGCAAGGCAGCAGGTGCACTGTAGGGCTCGCTCCCTCTACCACACTGCAGCAACGCACGGCAAAACGCATACATCGCCGCAATGCATGATAGCGCACATTAAAAGTGGTTGTAAACCCTTCATATACCCAGTGATGTGACTGACCTCAGGTCGTACAGATTAAACAAATCCTCCTACATAAGTTGTACCTGTTTATCTGCGATTAGCTCCTCACTACATCTTTTCAAATTGAAGAATTAATAAAGCTTGTCTGGCCTATCAGAAAGCAGGGGGCAGACAGCTGAATTGACACTCTGCAGAGCTCAGTGAGGAGAGCTCTGAGAGCTGATTGAAAGGGAGAGACACCCCCACCCAAACACACACCTCCACACAGCACACAGGAACAGAACTGAGGCTGTCAATCTGCTGGAGGTCCCTCCCCTGTCACCATTTTTCTCTTGGTGTCAGGAAAACTTGTCAGAAGTGACTCATGATGCTGATAACAGAGGAACGAGGCAGCAGACAGAAGTTACACTTAGGCTACGTTCACACTAGCGTTGTCAGCAGGCGGCAGACAGGCGTTTGGGAATCGTTTTTACCGCTTTCCAAACGCCTCAGAAAATTCTGCACATTGCAGCACATAGTGCTGTTCACAAGGAAGCGTTAGCGTTGCGTCAAAACGGACGCCTCTGGTCGGGTCAGGAGGAGTTGAAGCCTACTATTGAAGTCTATGGTGCCGCTCTGCAAACGCCTGGCCGGCATTTGCAGTGCGGTTGCGAGGCGTTTGCGGAGCGTTAACACCATTCAAACTTCATTATAGGCATTTGTGGGGCATTTTTAATGCTTGGCAAATGCTTACCAACCGCCGTTAACAGCGCATACGGCGGTTTTGGAGCGTTAAAAACGCTTCACAAACGCCGGACCAACGCTTGTCAAATGCTATAGGTGTATTTGGCAAGAGTTGGAAAAGAAAGTCAAGTGTGAATGAGCCCTTAGTGCAAGTACACACTATAGAGCAGGGGTGTCAAACTGGCTGCCCTCCAGCTGTTGCAAAACTACAAGTCCCATCATCCCTCTACCTTTGGGTGTCATGCTTGTAACTGTCAATCTTGCAATGTCTCATGGGACTTGTAGTTTGGCAACAGCTGGAGGGCCGCAGGTTTGACACCCGTAATATAGAGAGATATGCTTTGTTTGTATTTAATGTCTGAGGTTTCCAACCACTTTAATAGGCTGCGGCAGGGTGGATAAAAATCAATGATTTTTAAAAAAAAAAAAAAAAAGAAAAAAAAAAAAAAAAAATCGGATTTTTTTTTTATTTAAATCGGATTTTTTTAAATAAAATGCTTTTTGAGGAAAATATATTACTATCCAAAGGTTATTCCATCATGAAATAAAGATTAGTTTTTTAATTATGTAGAATAAGGCTGTATATGTTTTTAATTTTTTGGTAAATAAATTCCATTCATCCATTCACAATGTCATGCTCCTCCAGAGGTTTCTGTAAGATTATTGGGCAGTTTCTCTGCCTACAAGATATTATCACAGATGTTTGGTTTACTTTTGCAGTTCTCACAAAACTGAATTTGACTCAGCGGAGATCACATGCCTCTTCTTCACAGCAAAAATGTTATAACATGAACAGAGTTAAGAAAAAGACCTTCATCCTAACTTCTACAGACCTATGAATACAGAATCAACCCCTTCAGTGCGAAGCTTCAAGAAGTTCAGTGAATAGAATAGAAACAATATTTTTCTGATTGTTTGGAGTGGAATAGATCTGGACAAGAAGAAAGTGAAACTACCGTATTTGCCGGCGTATAAGACGACTTTTTGACCCTTGAAAATCTTCTCAAAAGTCGGGGGTCGTCTTATACGCCGGTACACATGTTTAGGGGGGCTGCGGCATTAAGTACAGGGGTTTGCAGGGGCTGATGTCTCTTACCTGGATCCAGTCCCACGACGATCCGGTCCAGGAAGCGCGGCGTCTCCTTCAGTTCGGCCACTGGATGTTCGTGCGGCTGCTCGGCTCCGCCTCCTCACCGGTGATTGGCCGCCAGAACTGTAGCTCAGGAAAGGCACACAGGCGGCCAATCACCGGCGAGGGGGCGGAGCCGAGCGGCCCCCGCGAAAATTGAGTGCCGGAGCAGCAGGTAAGTGTTCTGTGTAGAGGTGCTGCTGCAACCACATATGCTGGCTGCAGCAGCACCATACGAGAACAGAGTCAGCAAGTCTCAGTGGGAGGAATAGTGCCCCATCATTGGTGTCACTGATACCAATGATGGGGCACTATCCCCCCCCCCCCACTGACACCAACGATGGGGCACTATTCCTCCCCCCCACTGACACCAATGATGGGGCACTATCCCCCCCCCACTGACACCAATGATGGGACACCATTCCTCCCACTGACATCAATGATGGGGCACTATTCCACCCCCCACTGACACCAATGATGGGCACTATTCCTGCCACTGATACCAATGATGGGGCACCATTCCTCCCACTGACACCAATGATGGGGCACTATTCCCCCTACTGACACCAATGATGGGGCACTATTCCTCCCACTGATACCAATGATGGGGCACTATTCCTCCCACTGATACCAATGATGGGGCACTATTCCTCCCACTGACATCAATGATGGGGCACTATTCCTCCCACTGACACCAATGATGGGGTACTATACCTCCCACTGACATCAATGATGGGGCACTGATACCAATGATGGGGCACTATTCCTGCCACTGATACCAATGATGGGGCACTATTCCTCCCACTGATACCAATGATGGGGCACTATTCCTCCCACTGACATACCAATGATGGGACACTATTCCTCCCACTGACATCAATGATGGGGCACTATTCCTCCCACTGACATCAATGATGGGGCACTATTCCTCCCACTGATATCAATGATGGGACACTATTCCTCCCACTGATACCAATGATGGGGCACTATTCCTCCCTCCCATCTGATGGGCACTATTCCTCCCAATGATGGGGCACTATTCCTCCCACTGACACCAATGATGGGGCACTATTCCTCCCACTGATACCAATGATGGGGCACTATTCCTTCCTCTGACACCAATGATGGGGCACTATTCCTCCCACTGATACCAATGATGGGGCACTATTCCTGCCACTGATACCAATGATGGGGCACTATTCCCTTCCACTGACACCAATGATGGGGCACTATTCCTTCCCACTGATACCAATGATGGGGCACTATTCCTCCCACTAATACCAATGATGGGGCACTATTCCTCCTCTGATACCAATGATGGGGCACTATTCCTCCCACTGATACCAATGATGGGGCACTATTCCTCCCACTGACATACCAATGATGGGGCACTATTCCTCCCACTGATACCAATGATGGGGCACTATTCCTCCCACTGATACCAATGATGGGGCACTATTCCTCCCACTGATACCAATGATGGGGCACTATTCCTCCCACTGATACCAATGATGGGGCACTATTCCTCCCACTGATACCAATGATGGGGCACTATTCCTCCCACTGATACCAATGATGGGGCACTATTCCTCCTCTGATACCAATGATGGGGCACTATTCCTCCCACTGATACCAATGATGGGGCACTATTCCTCCCACTGACATCAATGATGGGGCACTATTCCTCCCACTGATACCAATGATGGGGCACTATTCCTCCCACTGACATCAATGATGGGGCACTATTCCTCCCACTGACATCAATGATGGGGCACTATTCCTCCCACTGGTGTGCATTGGAAGAGGGGTAGTCTTATACGGCGAGTATAGCCCAAACACTACATTTTAGCAGGAAAAGTAGGGGGGTCGTCTTATACGCCGGCAAATACGGTAAGTGTGAGGAGGAGGAAGGGGCTGACAGTCTACGTTTCTTAAAATATATATATTTTGTTTAGCCAAATTAGTTCACAAACATGGATGTTTAAGCCAATCACAGATGCTGGAATGTTATTGTTTCAGATTAATAAATCTATTTAAATTGTTATTATTAAGGTAATGATTATTTTTCTCCTTCCTAAGTACAACAGAAAAGTTGTCCAAATATGAATGATTAACCTATTAAACTGGGGATAAAAAAACTAATATGAAAAGTTGTTATTCTAAAAATCTTCATCTACTTGCATATTAAAGTTATAGCAGCAAGAATTAGTCTTTATGTAGAAAACTAGGATTTACATCCAGCCTTACTGACTAGTGATTTAAATTGTGATTTAAATCAAATCCACCCTGGTTACATGACCGCGCAATTGTCATTCAAAGTGTGATAGCACTGAAAGCTGAAAATTGCCCTGGGCAGGAAGGGGATAAAAGTGTCCGGACTGGAAGTGGTTAATGTATATACATTCATATGATATTTTGAAGGTAATACACTATTATAATTTATTATTACGGTGTATCACGAGGGTTTGGAATGGAGAAGTGAAAGTTGAATACACTGGATTGAGATATTTTTGGTAGACTTTTTTTATTTGGATATTATTTTGGACACTATTTTTTGGATATTCAATTATTTTGAATTAATCTTTGGATACTGTTTTATTTTATTGTTTATTTATTAAGTAATTTATTTCATTTAATATAATTTTAAATTTCATTTATTTAGTTTTGTATTCCTGTATATGAGTTTTGAGCATAAGTGAAGGAAAAGGTTTATTATTAGGGTTAAAAACCTTGTCACGTTTTTCTCCACTCATGTCCAAATTCAGTTCCTGTTTCATAGGCAAAACAGGAAGTGAGAGGAAATAGTGCCAGAGTGAAGGAATCCATAGTTGTCACCAGGTTTACTGGAACTAGTGTCCCCCCATTGAAAGATTTTCCCTCTATACCAATCCTGGTGATAACTCAGATGTTGAGATTTTGCTTCATTCTCAGAGATAATGGTAAACAGGACATATAGAGAGGGTGGATCTCCCTAATGGGGACAGAGACAGCAATAAAAACCTGACAGGTGTTCTAATCCTTCTCCACTCCATCCAAAACTAAAAAAAAAAAAAAAAAAAGTTTTGGCTTTAGGTATACTTTAACCACTTCCAGTCCGGACACGCTTTCACCCCCCTTCCAGTCCGGACGCTTTCCCCCCCCCTTCCAGTCCGGACGCTTTTCACCCCCCTTCCAGTCCGGACGCTTTCACCCCCCTTCCAGTCCGGACGCTTTCACCCCCCTTCCAGTCCGGACGCTTTCACCCCCCTTCCAGTCCGGACGCTTTCACCCCCCCTTCCAGTCCGGACGCTTTCACCCCCCTTCCAGTCCGGACGCTTTCACCCCCCTTCCAGTCCGGACGCTTTCACACCCCCTTCCAGTCCGGACGCTTTCCCCCCCTTCCAGTCCGGACGCTTTCACCCCCCTTCCAGTCCGGACGCTTTCACCCCCTTCCAGTCCGGACGCTTTCACCCCCTTCCAGTCCGGACGCTTTCACCCCCTTCCAGTCCGGACGCTTTCACCCCCTTCCAGTCCGGACACTTTCACCCCCTTCCAGTCCGGACACTTTCCCCCCTTCCAGTCCGGACACTTTCACCCCCTTCCAGTCCGGACACTTTCCCCCCCTTCCAGTCCGGACACTTTCACCCCCTTCCAGTCCGGACACTTTCACCCCCTTCCAGTCCGGACACTTTCACCCCCCCTTCCAGTCCGGACACTTTCCCCCCTTCCAGTCCGGACACTTTCACCCCCTTTCCTTTCACCCCCTTCCAGTCCGGACACTTCCCCCCCCCTTCCAGTCCGGACACTTTCCCCCCCTTCCAGTCCGGACACTTTCACCCCCCTCCAGTCCGGACACTTTCCCCCCCCCCTTCCACTTTCCAGGCCAATTTTTCAGCTTTTCAGCGCTATTACACTTTGAATGACAATTGCGCAGTCATGCAACACTGTACCCATATTAATATTTTAGCATTTTTTGAGACTGATACATCTTTATTTTGGTGGTATTTATTCACCGCTGGGATTTTTTTTTTTGGCTATATTAATGAAAAAGTCCCAAAAATTGTGAAAAAAAGTGTTTCTTATAAAATTTAGCAAATTTCTTTCTTCATAAATCTTGGCCAAAATGTATTCAGCTATCCTTTAGTAAAAAAAAAAAAAAAAAAAAAAAAAAAAAAAAAATATAACCCAAATTAGCTTATAACCAAAAATTAAATTTTTCTTATTTTTTTTTTACATTTTTATATTTGTTTATGTTTTTTTTTCACATACTGTCACCCTAGCGACACTGAACTACTTGTGGGGGGTGATGATTTTTTTTTTTTTTTTTTTACACCCATAAAGACTGTAAAAGCAATCATTTCTCCTTCTCCCTGGCTGCATTCTTGCAGTCAACAGTTTTTGTAGCTTCTGACTTTTATTTGGCCTGGAACTTTTCAAGTGGGTAAACCTGGTTGATGACTTCAGGAAAATAATTTCAGTTGTCATTGCTGATACTAGTATGCACCAGGCCCAGAGATGTATGTGCTTTATTATAATGACTGTTGCATAGTTCATGGTTGAGCATTCACCTAGCCCAGGGGTAGGCAACCTGAGAGTCGCAGGACTACAAGTTCCATCATGCCTCTGCAAGTCATAGCTGTAACTGTCAGTTTTGTAATCTTTGCAATGCCTCATGGGAAATGTAGTTCCACAACAGCTAGAGAGCCGCAGGCTGCCTACCCCTGACCTAGCCTGTCCCCTTCAATGAGAAGAGACTATATGAGGACGTAGGAGGCTGACAGCTGCTCCTGGTGTCCCCATGTTTCACGGGATTATTACCTGTGTACCCAGCTATGCGGTTATCACCTAAAAACACATCTTGCCTTGGGACCTGTTAATCAGATCACACCAGTTCAACCTGCTCACACCTGCTGTACTGGAACTACAAGTCCCAGCAATGTACCGCCAGCAGGGGAATTACCGGGCATGCTGACACTTGACATGCTCTAAAATGCACCTGTAATTGGTTAGTCATTGTAGAGCTGACAAGGAAAGTAGGGGAAAAGGTGCTCTGCAGACCTATTACCGTGAGAAAGATTTCACATATAAAGAGAACCTGTCACAATGTAAATTCAGGACAGAGAGACCGATACTCTTCCTAGGACCCAACCCCACTGCCAGTTGAGACCTTTGCCCTGACACTCATTTAGCCTGTGGGAAACCTCTGAACTAGCCCCTGCTTGTAATGATGGTGGAGGATGTGACCTCCTCTTCTTGTTCCCAGGAAGCAGTGTTCAGCTTTGAGCAACCAATCGTAATGTGTTGCAGGGAAGAAAATCGTTAACCCCATGTAAGCTCTGACCCGGAGGAGGGCTCGGGGCGCGTTCACAATGGCTTGTGCTGGTTTGCGTTGAGTAGCAGCAGTGACGGGCGGTGCAGTGAGCTGTAAACACATGACGTCTGCTTTCCTTTTTTACTCTATTGAAGTATCACAAAAAGACATTTCACTCAAGTCTCTGCAATGCATTGCAGTCATATGCGGTGCCACACACTGATCAGCCATAACATTATGACCACCGACAGCTAAAGTGAGTTACATTGGTTATCTTGTTACAATGGTAACTGAAAGTGGGCGGAATATGTTAGGCGGCAAGAAAACATGTTGTCCCTGAAGGTGATGTGTTGATTGAAAGCTGGAAAAAAAAGGCCAAGCGAGCGACTTTGACAAGCACCAAATTGTAATGTCTAGACCGGGGTGGGCAACCTGCGGCTCTCCAGCTGTTGCAGAACTACAAGTTCCATCATGCCTCTGCAAGTCATGGCTGTCACTGTCAGTTTTGCAGTGTCTCATGGGACCTGTAGAGTCATGCTTGTAACTTCCAGTCTTTGCAATGCCTCATGGGAAATGTAGTTCCACAACAGCTGGAGAGCCGCAGGCTGCCCACCCCTGTTCTAGGCCAATGGTCTTAAAACTGCAGCCCAGGGCCCAGATGCCACCCTTTGCTTGCTTTTATCTTGCCCATGGGATATCATTCCTCCCCCACTATTGGCAACAATGGGGCATAGTTCCTGCCAACAGGGCACCATTCCTCCCACTGACACCAATGATGGAGCACCATTCCTCCCACTGACACCAATGATGGGGCACCATTCCTCCCACTGACACCAATGATGGGGCACCATTCCTCCCACTGACACCAATGATGGGACACCATTCCTCCCACTGACACCAATGATGGGGCACCATTCCTCCCACTGACACCAATGATGGGGCACCATTCCTCCCACTGACACCAATGATGGGACACCATTCCTCCCACTGACACCAATGATGGGGCACCATTCCACCCACTGACACCAATGATGGGGCACTATTCCTCCCACTGATACCAATGATGGGACACCATTCTTCCCACTGACACCAATGATGGGACACTATTCCTCCCACTGACACCAATGATGGAGCACTATTCCTCACACTGACACCAATGATGGGGCACTATTCCTCCCACTGATACCAATGATGGGGCACTATTCCTCCCACTGATACCAATGATGGGGCACTATTCCTCCCACGGATACCAATGATGGGGCACTATTCCTCCCACTGGATACCAATGATGGGGCACTATTCCTCCCACTGACACCAATGATGGGGCACTATTCCTCCCACTGACACCAATGATGGGGCACTATTCCTCCCACTGATACCAATGATGGGGCACTATTCCTCCCACTGACACCAATGATGGGACACTATTCCTCCCACTGACACCAATGATGGGCACTATTCCTCCCACTGACACCAATGATGGGGCACTATTCCTCCCACTGACACCAATGAATGGGCACTATTCCTCCCACTGACACCAATGATGGGACACTATTCCTCCCACTGATACCAATGATGGGGCACTATTCCTCCCACTGATACCAATGATGGGGCACTATTCCTCCCACTGATACCAATGATGGGGCACTATTCCTCCCACTGATACCAATGATGGGGACACTATTCCTCCCACTGACACAATGATGGGGCACTATTCCTCCACACTGACACCAATGATGGGGCACTATTCCTCCCACTGACACCAATGATGGGGCACTATTCCTCCCACTGACACCAATGATGGATGGGGCACTATTCCTCCCACTGACACCAATGATGGGGGCACTATTCCTCCCACTGATACCAATGATGGGGCACTATTCCTCCCACTGATACCCATGATGGGGCACTATTCCTCCCACTGATACCAATGATGGGACCAATGATGGGGCACTATTCCTCCCTCCCACTGACACACCAATGATGGGGCACTATTCCTCCCACTGATACCAATGATGGGGCACTATTCCTCCCACTGATACCAATGATGGGGCACTATTCCTCCCACTGACACCAATGATGGGGCACTATTCCTCCCACTGACACCAATGATGGGGCACTATTCTCCCACTGACACCAATGATGGGGCACTATTCTTCCCACTGACGCCAACGATGGGTCGTGTGCTTGTGGCATCCCAGGGGAACCCAAACGGCAGCCCATGGCACCACAGCACCCTGGTTGAGACACACTGTTGTAGATCCTTCTGACTTTATGACGGGGAGGCCACTGCAGGGATGAGAGCATGTGCCTGATTCCATTTGCTGCTACAATGGCACTAGTAGGTTAGGATGTTGGCTTGGCCATAGACCAAGGCTGGGCGAATCCCAAGAATCAGGTGGCCAATGCTCCTTAACCCGAGGTTCACATCTGTGCGGGTGGTGCCGCTGCGCATCCGCATGAAAATCCGTGCAGCCGCACCACCCGCACAGAGAAATGCGGACCCGCGGGCGGGTGCTATTAGTTCTAATGGCACGCCGTCCGCACTGGAAAACGCAACTGTACTGGGAACCGAGGTTCCCGTTCGGGCTGCATTTTCCAAAGAAGTGCAGGGACTTCTTCCCTGGGTGTCCCGGGAAATGGGGGATCCATTCAAATGAATGGGCTCTTGTGCCCGTGCAAAACGCAGCGCATACAGCCGCATAGGTGTGAACCGGGGGTAAAAATGACAGCTGGTGCTTAAAGGATAAGTTCAACTTTTGTAACATGTTACACCCAAATTTAAGGTGTAACATGTTACGTTCAGACCGGCCCCCGCTCCGACAGCTAGCGGGGGGATCTTCGCTAGCTGTCAAATTTTAAACAAACGTGGCCATGCGGGACTCCACAAAATGGCAGCATCACTCATTCACAGTCATCTGTGAATGAGAGTCTACAAGTCCTGATAGCCTTACCTGTCAGCTTGCAGTCCTCAATGAACAATGACGGCGCTGTGAAACGTCACGGTAGTTCATTCATTCGTTCCGTCGGAATATTTTTTTTTTTTTGTACATCCCATACGGCAAGCAGATATTCTGACAGGTCTGCAGGAGACCTGCATGGCATCAGGGATCTACTGATCACTGGTGCATGCTTTCCAGGCTCCTGCAGACAAAAATAATAAATGCACTTATTTTTACCTGAAAAAAAAAATGTGCATTTATTATTTTTTTCTAAAAGGTGAACTTATCCTTTAAAGCGAAGCTCCAGTCTGTGTAAAAAACTAAAAGTCAGCAGCTTTTAATAAACAGCCATTCACCTATCCCAGAATTCAGCGATGTGTTCACCCAAGCGGTTTTCACCTCCTGTCTTCTGAACCCAGCTGGGATAGCGTGCGGATTCATAGCCCGGGTGCCCCCCCCCCCCCGCGCTGCGCAATGGTAATGGTCCCACCGTCTTCTGTCACGTTACACAGAAGACAGCGGGGAGGGAGGGGGAAATCAACTAATATGGCGTTCAGGAGCTAGCAGGATTTTTTTTTTATTAGGTGTCAACTTCATTACCAACTAGAGAAAACCACAAAAGTTAGAAGATTTATCCAATAGGGGAAGTTTTTGGCTTTTAAGACCTCCTCCTTCACTCCTGGTAATGAAATGGCACTTTTGAGGTGAGGAGCGGGTACTTGATTTTGATAGGTACCCACTCCCACTTCCGCTCCTATCGCCTAGTCCAGGGGGAGGCAACCTGTGGCTCTCTAGCTGTTGTGGAACTACATTTCCCATGAGGCATTGCAAAGATTACAAAACTGAAAGTTACAGCTATGACTTGCAGAGGCATGATGGAACTTGTAGTCTCTCAGGTTGCCTACCCCTGGCCTAGTCGGTCGGAGCGGAAGTGGGAGCGGGTACCTATCAAAATCAAGTACCCGCTCCCCACCTCAAAAGTGCCATTTTATTACCAGGAGTGAAGGAGGAGGTCTTAAAAGCAAAAAAAACTTCCCCTATTGGATAAATCTTCTAACTTTTGTGGTTTTCTCTAGTTGGTAATGAAGTTGACACCTAATAAAAAAAAAAAAAAAATCCTGCTAGCTCCTGAACGCCATATTAATCTGGTGAGTGCGCACTTTATCCATCTCTTGCACAACCACCTGAATATATCAAGTTTATTGGGAACAACAGCGTCATCAGGAGATCATTTTGATGAACTGTTTATATTTTTTAATATTTTATGACATAAAACGCAGGTATAACTATGGTACGTTTCCCTTTGAAGATTTTATGAACTTTTATATCAGTTCAAGAGTTAATATTCCTTGATCCACATATGTAGATTTGCTAAGCTGCATACCTGTCCTTTTAATATATTTTTTAGTGCTGCACTTTTTTACATATTTTATCTGAAGGAGTTTGGTTTTTACCTCAGTGCAATAGCTGCTTTTATAACTTAGCGCTCGCTTTCTCTATTTACATATAATAATTTGTCCATCCCTGCCATAGACAGATATCTGCCCTAAAGGTGATGGCAGCAGGCATCATTATCCTCCCCAACACAGATGATAAAGCACGCATGATACCAATGATTTGTCATTCTTCTATATAGAGGACTGAGAGACCAGAACCACTTGCAGGAGGAGATCAAATTTTTCTGCAAAACACTCATTACGGTCACGTGTGACATGCTCAAAGATCCTTTGTTTAAACAAAACAAAAGAAAATTGTACAAACATAGATTTTGCATGGAGCTCCCACTCCTCTCCTGCCAAAGCCGGCCGCACCACCCCTGATTAGGGATGACTTCTACACTATCCTTTAATTGTTAGGATTGTTTTTCATCTTGTCATTAATCGTCCAAGGCAGCCTTTCTTCTAGTCAGGGTTCACTGGAACCCATGAGTTCCTCCAGAGGTTGCCAGGGGTTCCTTTGGCAATGAGCAATTTCTGCTTCTTAGATAAAAAGATCAGTGGTGTCAGTGGGGGGGGGGGGGGGGAGGGGGGATTCTTTATACTGACCACAAATGTAAGGAACATTCGATCCCTTGAGCATCCCACTACCATATACCATGAACTATGAATATACAGTGGGGATCAAACTCAAAGGTTTTTATTTGGCAGGTCTCAGCTTTGCAAAGGGGGCAGTGCATGCTATTAACTCTGCAGGATGCCCAAACTTTTGCAGACGCCATTTTTTTTGTTTTCTGTTATTTTAAAAGTGTAAATGATGAAAATAAAATCTAACTGTAATTTGATGCCTTTTGAGTGACATATTATAAGAATGTCTAATCTGTAATTTGATGCCTTTTGGAGATTTTTCCATCTTTCCTTGGCTTCTTTAATGCACATTAATACAAATTTTTAGCTGGGGTGCCCAAACTTTCGATCCCCACTGTACATTTGTAGGGGTTCCCTGAGACTATAAAATTATTTCAAGGGTTCTCCATGTGATAAAAGTTGAGAAAGGTTGGTGTAAGGCGGTGGGTGGGCCTCAACAAGTGCAGCGAGAATTCAGAATCCCTCTTGTGACCATTGCTCAGAGGATGGTAGTGGTAACTCACCAGAAACAAACACAGATTATGGATGTACAGGGTACGGTGGTAACTCACCAGAAACACAGATATGGATGGATGTACAGGGTACGGTGGTAACTCACCAGAAACACAGATCATGGATGTACACGGTGGTAACTCACCAAAACACAGATTATGGATGGGTAACTACGGTGGTACGGTAACTCACCAGAAACACAGTACATACGGTGGTACTGGATGGATGTACAGGGTACGGTGGTAACTCACCAGAAACACAGATCATGGATGTACAGGGTACGGTGGTAACTCACCAGAAACACAGTACATACGGTGGTAACTCACCAGAAACACAGATGGATGTACAGGGTACGGTGGTAACTCACCAGAAACACAGATCATGGATGTACAGGGTACGGTGGTAACTCACCAGAAACACAGATGGATGTACAGGGTACGGTGGTAACTCACCAGAAACACAGAATATGGATGTACAGGGTACGGTGGTAACTCACCAGAAACACAGATGTTGGATGTACAGGGTACGGTGGTAACTCACCAGAAACACAGATAATGGATGTACAGGGTACGGTGGTAACTCACCAGAAACACAGTAACTTATGGATGTACAGGGTACGGTGGTAACTCACCAGAAACACAGAATATGGATGTACAGGGTACGGGGTAACTCACCAGAAACGGTGGTAACTCACCAGAAACACAGAATATGGATGTACAGGGTAGTGGTACGGTGGTGGTAACTCACCAGAAACACAGAATATGGATGTACAGGGTACGGTGGTAACTCACCAGAAACACAGAATATGGATGTACAGGGTACGGTGGTAACTCACCAGAAACACAGAATATGGATGGATGTACAGGGTACGGTGGTAACTCACCAGAAACACAGAATATGGATGTACAGGGTACGGTGGTAACTCACCAGAAACACAGAATATGGATGTACAGGGTACGGTCACATCATACAAAGACATTGTAGACAATTGTACTCTTCCATCCTTGTGGTAACAGATTAGTGAAGACCCTTTTCTGTTCCAGCCCGACTGTGCCCTGTGTACAAAGGCATGGCTTGAGGAGACTGGTGTGGCGGAACGTAAGTGGCCTTCACAGGGAACTAACCTCAACCCTACTGAATGCCAAATTCCAGGCACAGATTGTGTTTTGCATAGTCACATTCAGTTTTGGAGTAATGTATGTATGTATATTCCAAACTGGCCAATCCCTGTGGAAGCAGAGAATCACTCTGTACTAATTGTTTCTACTACAGTGTATTATAAAAAGTCTATACACCCCTCTTAAAATGTCAGGTTTCTGTGATGAGACAAACATAAATCATTTCAGAACTTTTCCCACCTTTAATGTGACCTATAAACTGTACAATTCAATTGAAAAACAAACTGAAATCTTTTAAGGGGGGGGGGGGGTAAACAGAAAACGAAAAATAATGCGGCTGCATGAGTGTACACACCCTCTTATAACTGGGGATGTAGCTGTGTTCAGAATTAAGCAATCACATTCAAAATCATGTTAAATAGGAGTCAGCACACACCCGCCATTTGTTAAAGTGCCTCTGATTAACCCTAAATAAAGTTCAGCTGTTCTAGTAGGTCTTTCCTGACATTTTCTTAGTCACATCCACCAGCAAAAGCCATGGTTCGCAGAGAGCTTCCAGAGCATCAGACGGATCTCATTGTTAAAAGGTATCAGTCAGGAGAAGGGTACAAAAGAATTTCCAAGGCATTAGATATATCATGGAACACAGTGAAGACAGTCATCATCAAGTGGAGAAAATATGATGCAACAGTGACATCACCAAGA